GAGCTCAATATCTGACATTCATGTTATGCTGTGGCTTTGAAATAGCTTAATCAGTACTCACTTGCCCAGAGCAAGTAATCATTTAAGCCAGGGAACGTCACAGAATACTGACCACATTTACCTGAAGACACAGGACCCAAAAGGGGAACATTTGGCATGGATTCCACTTCTTCATAGTTACTGAAACGTCTGCCTACTTGGCAAAGCTCATCTTACGTTTCAAGTTGCATGAATTGAAACCAAGAGACTAGCAGTATTCTACAGCCATGTTCCTGAGTACTCAGCTCCAATTATCCAATATTCTTAAAAAGATTCTTTAATCAAGCCCTTGTCCAACAGGAGACTTACAGTACTTGGGGACTACAACATGTCCCTTTTCCCTGCTCTTCCATTTCTCTTGGCTTCTCTTTCTCACACCAGTGTAATACTTGCTACGGATTTTTACCAGAATACTTCAGCAGTAGTTGGAAATGAATTCTACATTACTGAAAGTCTTCAATCACATTGTAATGGGTCATATTTGCATAATAACTAGAAGATGGTCAAATAATGTCTACTGTAGTGATTTTGCAAATTCAGCATAGTCTATATATCCATCGTTCTTGTCATCGTGTCTTAAAACACCATCTATTAAGTTAATCAGTTCCTCTTCCCTCATCGGTGGTGCCTGATCATTCCCTCCCTCCTTATGGACATGAGTGATGGCTGTGGAGAGTTCTAGGCCGTCAAGCAGACTGTTGCCGTTATAATCATGCATTTTGAAATAATGGAGCTGCAGTTCTTGTGGCGACATCTCTGCCTCTGGTTTGTTGATGATGCCTTCTAGATGTTCCATGATATGCTCTTGGTCATGCATTGTGTGCTTATCCAGGCCCATGCTGCCGGGATGGGAAGAGCCGGCCCCAGGCTGCTTAGCCCTAGTACCTGAGGCACAAAACGCCCAGAGCATGCCACACAGGAAGGGAGTTCTGAGCAGCTGCAGAGATCTCATGGTTGCTGATATCCTCACTGCCCACTGCTGCTCAAGATTCCCAGACGAAAGGTTACAGCATGAGCCCCACTAACCCCAATTCTCTATCCTATGTCTTTTGATTGGAGCATTTAATCCACTTACATTTAAGGTTATTATTGATAGGTACTTATCTATTGCCATTTTATTTCTTTGTGGCTATGTTTCTCTTTCTCTCTATTTCAACTTCTTGTTACAGCAGTCCCTTTAACATTTCTTGGAATGCTGGTTTGGTGGTGATAAACTCCTTTAGCCTTTTTTAAATCTGGGAAGCTCTTTATTTCACCATCTATTTTGAATGATAGCCTTGCTGGATAGAGTAGTTCTGGTTTCAGATCCTTGTTTTGCATTACCTTGAATACTTCATGCCATTCCTTTCTGGCCTGTAGAGTTTCTGATGAGAAGTCAGCTGAAAGCCTTATGGGAGCTGCTTTGTAGGTAATAGATTGCTTTTCTCCTGCTGCCTTTACGATTCTCTCCTTGTCTTGAATTTTTGGCATTTTAATTATGTGTCTGGGTGTGAGCCTCTTTGGGATCTTCTTGCTTAGTACACTTTGTGCCTCCTGAATATGTGTGACTTTTTCCTTCACCAGGTTAAGGAAGTTTTCTGCCATTATTTCTCCAAATAGGTTCTCTATTCCTTGATCACTTTCTTCCTCTTAGGACATTCCTATGATGTGATATTGTAACGTTTCATGTTGTCCCACAGCACCCTTAAGCTGTCCTCCTGTTTTTTAATTGTTTTTCCTTTTTGGTTCTCTGATTGAGTGATTTTTTTCAACCCTGTCTTCTAATTTGCTGATCCAATCCTCAGCTTCCTCTAATCTGCTATTTATTACTTCCAATGTTGTATTTTTTGTTTATATTATGTCATTCTTAATTTCCATCATGGTTTCCATATCTATCCTCATGCTGTTGAGCATCCTTGTGATCAGTATTCTGAACTCTATATCTGATAGATTTCTTATCTCCATTTCACTCAGCTCTTCTTCTGGAGAATTATTTTGTTTTTATACTTGGGGCTTGTTTTTTTTATCTCCCCGTTTTGGCTGCCTGTTTGGATTTGTTTCTATGTATTAGGTAGATCTGCTAGGACTCCCAGTCTTATGGATGGTCTCTGGTGCAAGCCAATGTCAGATGCTGTTTGTGATTGGTCTTGAGTACTCTGTTAGAAGCTTTCCTCACTCCACCGCTCATGGTTCCCTCTGCAGGGGCTGGGTGTGTTTGGAAAGGACAGAGATGTGCACCAAGGTCTGCTTTTCCAAGCCCTGGGTCCAGAAGCAAATCAGGCAAAGACTCAAAGCACCCAGAGGCTGAATGTTATTCAGTCTCTTAATGAGCCTCAGGCTTTCGAAGCTCCACAGGATGGGGTGAGTGGTTTTCAATGGGTGGGGCAATTGCTTCCCCCTCAGGCAAAGGCTGCTTGGATGGTAAATGTCTGCCTTAGAAAGACATTTTCCGCAGTATGGGGGAATGACTCAGCACAGGAATCCAGATCACTGACCCCTGAGCTCTATCCCCAAGCCAGCGCCTGTGCATTCTCATCAAAAAGCTCTAGTCCACTCTGCCCTCCCACCACTGGGTGAGTGACTGCACAGGAACCTTTGTACTTTGACCCTTTAAGAGGGTGCCTGCATTTCCAGCCACCTTCCCTCACAGACAGAAACCCCACTGCTTTTCACAGCCAGATGTTATGTGGGCACCTTTCTCAGTTCTGATGCTCTGGGCTGGGAAGCCCAGCATGGGGTTTAGGCCCCAGTGTTCTCAGTGGGAACCCCCCACAGCTGAGATATCCCTCTGGACCTTCAGCTGCTACCTGTGAGAGCCCAGCCAGCCCTCTCCTGCTTTCTCACCTCCTACCAGTCTCTATGTGGTCTCCATTTTTTGTCCTTGGTTATGAGGGTTCTCTCCAGCTAGTTTTCAGTTGATTTTTCAGGATGTTTTTTCTATATTTTAGTTGTAATTCCAGTTTGGTCCTGGGAGAGTGTCAGTGTAGCTCGCATGCAATCTGCCACCATCTTGGAATCTACATAATTTATCTTTGATCAGACAGAAGCTTTCTGAGGGCAGAGGGCAGAGGACAGAGGCCATGGTAAGTTCTATGGCACTTTTGTGTAATTTGGGAAAAGTCAACTCTCTGGCCAGCAGCAATCCCAGGAACATAGTATGGCCATTAGAAGACCTCTGTGTAGGAAGAGAAAGGCCTTGCCAACTCTGCATCCAGAGCACATGGTGGTAGGACTTCAACCCCTTCTCCTCTAAAGTGAGTGTGTTTGTATGTCTTCCCACTGGGCTCCGCTAGCTCCCCCCAAGACCCACACCATTCCCACATGGGGGTGGAGGGCCCAGGCTCAGTGGGTAATAAGAGTTTCTGACTCAAGTGCTCAGAGAGCTGCAGTTTATTTGTGGAAGAGCCACAGACATCAAAGATGTTCTACTCCTGCTGATGCATAGAGATTTGGGCTCCCCCAAATTAAAAGTCATTGTACTCTAGGGATTTTTGTTTTCCTTAACTTTTAAAATATAGATTGGGCTTATAAAAAGCATTGAGCCTGCTCAGTAAGAAAGAATTGAACAGGAAATGCCAACCTGCCCCAGTCTATAACTGAACCTACTTTTTCCCAAGGCTGGGGTGGGAGTGTCAGGTAAGGTAGAATTGTTCTGTCATGAGAGATACTCCCTCAGATGTCTTCAACTTGGGAAAGCTCCCATGTCTGAAAGCACTTTCCAGGGGTCAATCAGCAAATGGAAACCAAAGTTCACCCATTGTCTTAAAGGAAATGTGTGTGTGTGTGTGTGTGTGTGTGTGTGTGTGTGTGTATGTGTAGGAAACAAGTGCCATTTTGGCTGGAAACTCAAGCTCAAAGGGGACCCTCCAATGAGTTACTGATTTGTTTGATGTCATTACAGTTTTTCTATGTCTCTGTCAGCAAAGATGCTATACAGAACATGAAGTCCAACCTTATCTCTCCTTTATGTCACTTCTCATGAATGCAGCTCATGATAAACTTATTGCTTATAGGTCATCAGAACAGCCACGAATATACCTTAAGTTGATGAAACTTGAGTGCAAATGTGCATGATGTTTAGGATCACTTAAAGTTGTTATTACTAGTACTATTATTGGTGGTAGTGGGGTGTCCCTTTCCCCACTGAGTGTTGAGGGTGTTGTCCTTATGATATCTCAAGAAAAAGAATTTTCCAAGACTTGCGTGGAAGGATAAGTGATTTTTATTTTCATGGCATTACATCCTTGAGTTTCCAAAGTCCCATTTCCCTTAATCCAGTCCTGGAAGAAGTACAGCTAAGCTAGAAGCAAAGCCAGCATCCAGAGTTTCCATTCCATGTTGGAATTGGGTCCAGTAGAGCTTTAGGCTAGTCACAGTCCATTAGTCCATTGTGTGTGGGGTCCACATGGCTGTGGGCATTCAGGGGAGCCAAGAGAGCACATCCCCTGTGACAAGAGCCCTAAGAGAAACAAGAGCAACCAAGCAGGCCAGGGGCCAAGAAACCAAGAGAGCAAACTCCTTTCTTTAGGGGATTATATATTCCAAAGCTCCCTGAGCTTTCCTTTGGCCAATGACCTGTTCCCAAGTGTGACTGACAGACAAGTACCTTTCCTATATCACACAGACTTTGCTGGGCATGCGTTTATCTCCCCCCCCACCCCATCTCCTTCCTTCCCCCAGCGACCTGCAGGGAACAGACCAGTGGCTTCCTGGGGAGTGTTCAATTGCAGCATCCTGGCAAGCTGCACTAATGAATGACATGCCTATAATATTTGGTCTTCCCTCTACTCCTTTCCTGTCATTAATAACTAGGTTAATGAAAATGGTATCAGTACTAGAAGCAGTATTTATTATATATTAGTCAAATTGCTGAGAAATACTCCTCTTTTTAAAAAAATTATTTTTCATTTTATTTTTTTCCATCACTATTTTTCCCCTCTTTGCCTTCTTCCACTGCCACCCCTCCCTGCCCAGGGAAAGAATCAGAACTTAAACATGGGGGAGCGGCATTGGCCTGGAGGAAAGGGGGTGAGGGTTAGGGAGTGGCCATGTGGGAGCAGAGCTGGGACAAGGCAGTTCTGCAGAAAAGGGGTCTCCTTCCTGGCTCAGCTCCTGTCCCTCACTGTTTGCTCAACTCACTATTATATTCAGGGATCCAGTCCCCTGCCTTTACTGTGGGGTCTGTACCGGTGCCCACAGCAGGGTGACCGGAGACCCCTCCCTCAGCCTGGACCTCCAGCTCCCACCTGCCCCGGGCCCACACACACCTGGGCCCTTACTGCCCCTGCTGGTTGTGTTGGTGAAACTGGGCCACAGTGTGTTAGGAGCTGTTTCCAAGGCGGATGCCAACCTGCGCAGCATCTATTCCTTCAAGAGTCCAGCCATGGTTGGGAGGGAAGATATAGTAGTTGTGGGGTGTCCTTGAAGACCCGTGTCCCTGAGCCCAGTCCCCCAGCCACAGCAGATGGGTCTCCTTCCCTCAGTTGGACAAGAGTCCCCCCCACAGAAATCCCACAAGGGACTTGGTATCCTCCCCACTGTCCTTTCCCGTGTATCCACCTTTAACAGGCTTGTCACCCCCTGGTTCCAGCCTCACCCCTCCACCCCCTCCACTTCCATCATCCCACTGAGACTAGAGGATGCTTCTCCTGCCAGGAGGCCCCGAGGCAGAGAGCCTGTCCCCTGAGGCCAAGCCTTTTCCTCTGGGCTCAGGCCACAGTCTGGCCTTGGGAGCAAAATTGATGGGAGGGGTCCTTGGGTATTAGAGAGCTGTGTGCTCCCAGGAGCAGTCTGAAGGAGTCCCTGTCAATCTGCAAGGAGGGACTGAAGGGTATCCTGTGGATCCATAGCACCCATGACCTCCCACATCCTCCTTCCTTCCTCTCAGGTGCCCTTTCTATGGAGCAGTGCAGATCTGAGTAAGGAGAAAGCGGCCCCCAGAGCATTTTCACACAAAACCATCTTTATTCATAATAGACACACAATGTCCCAAAGGTGTTGCTCCTACCCCCACACCTAGGCC